TGTTCACTACATGAATGCCTTCCACTAACAAAGACAATCTTTATGCCATATTAGTGGGTAGACAAAATAATGAACCGCGGACGCTCACTGTACGTGGCTGCTCCTAGCACAGGGAAAGAAAGAATTAGCTCTTCCAGGACAGGCAGGGGCTGTAATCAGCAGGCTTCCTTTCTAATCTCTCTTTTTGAGATTATTATAAACTTGACAGACTTTCTTCTTTGGGGTTGCTCTTCTTCAATGTCAGCGTATGTCTGAAATGAATATTTTTAAACTTTTTTGCTTAGCAGAACTTTATAAATCTATGAGTAAATGCTTGAGTTCTGGTACAATATGGTAATACCTGTGCTCGATTTGAAGAGGCTATTAAAGAAAAAAAAAAGTCTTACATTTTACACTGACAGTATTTGTTTGCTGAAAGATTTCCTCTTAAGTTTATACAGCAGATAAACCTGAAAAGCTTTGTTACTGAAGCATGAATACCTAGCTCAGCTATGTGAATAAATAATAGTTTAGAGACTCAAATAATCATGAAAATGTCATGGAAAAAAAAATGAAGGCTCCTAAGTCTAAAAGTGAATTAGCTTCTGGTTTAGCAACTCTATTCCCCCACAGCTCAGAAGAAAGATATATTGAGTGTGTTTGTGTAGATAAATTTGAATGTATAATTAGATGTCTCGTCTCTTGATTTGCACCGGGAAGAGTCTTCCAACAGGCTACTGAAAACACATTTGATGCATGAATTTTAAGAAATAAAACTGTAACAAGGGTGTAGGGAGGCTGTGAAATATCCATCCTTGGTGATATTCAAAATTTGCCTGGTCACGGCCATCACTGACTGGTCCTGCTTGGAGCAGGAGGCTGGGGCAGAGCCCTCTGGAAGTGCCCTCCCACCTATGTGACTCCTGCTATGGCACTAAGCAATTAAATATGTGCAGCGATGCAAAAGGGTAAGATGACAAATTAAGCTGGTATCTAAGTCCCAACTTTCATGCTTTTTTTTTCTTTCTATTTAGAGGAAAAAATACATTTGTTTAATATCAGCTGCTGAAAAGGCCAGGCGCTGGGACGGCAATTCCACCAGGAAATTTTCACAGTGCTCTATCGACCTTGTAGCACCCATGTGAGTCAAAGCAAACATTGTTATCCTGGGGAAAATTAGGGTAGTGGGTCAACGGTGGCATGTTAAATGCCAGCCAGCATTAGAGGCAGATGCTCTGAGCTTGCAAGTCCCTCCCTTGTGTCCCCCTCCAGGGCTCAGCACCAGCACAAGCCCAACATCTGAGGGTATCACCCCAAATTCCCTCCAAAATTAATGAGAAATAAAGACATAAAAGGGAGCCTGGACAAAGGAGCTCAGATAACAGCCATGGCCACATGGAATCAGGTAAAATATATCTCTAGCCCAAATTCTTACGTTATGAAGTATCGTAGTTCCATACCTTTAAAACAGGGAAGTACTTATTCTGAGTGAAATGAAAGAAATTGAAGAATTAATTAACTAAATAGAGGTGATTAAAGTAAATAAAGGAAACAATTATCATATCAAAATAAAAGACAAGGAAGATGATTAAAAGAGTCTTCAAAAGACCCGTGAGAAACTCATGAAAGACATAATATGCATTTACCTGGTTTTTATTCTTTCATGATTTCATTTTCATTTTTATTCACTACCATCTGATAATTGCAAGAAACAGTTACTTTAACCATGGGCAATTTAAACCATTTTAATTTTTTTTTCTGGGCCAAGAGACAAAAGAACCTATTTATTGCCTGAGGGGATTTTTACTAAAATGAAAGCTTAATCTTTCATGTTTTTTTAAGCAAAGGCTTTTAAAAAATCATTTCTAACAATGCTGTAGGGAGAGACTTCCAYGGGTATGCAAAATTGAAATTATGAATTTACAATTATAAAAAAAATTAATGGTTTGGGGGATTGCATCGTCTCTGCTCCTTCTGAATGAATACTGTTTCAAGCTTAAGAGAAAGTATTTAGCACACGGAGGAGAATGACTGTCCTTAGACTCTCCTGGAGTCAAAGCTATTTGGTAAGCACACARTATATATGACAGAAATAAGTGACTGTATGAATCTTGAAGGAGTTTCACATGAATTCAGCAATGATTCTAAGTGGTGGAAAATTCTTTTTGTCCCTTTGACCATCCTGCAATTGCAGGCCAAGAGCAAAACCTGATACCCTCAAAATGTCAGGTACCATTTGGGCTTGTTCTCACTTGCTGGCCTGTTTTTCTGTGCTGCTGATAAGTCCAAGTTGGTCTGAGCACCATCCCTCTCAAATAATTTGATATTTTCAGAGTCATTAAGTCACAGCTACATAAAATCAAGCTACAAGATGAATTTAACTGAAGCAATCACAAATGCTGTATTTGCTTTTATGGCATATATCTAAAAAGGAAAACACAAAAGCTCTTGACCAAAGATTGACTCCAAACTTAGGAGAGATACAGCTATATCTGCATAACAAACATGGGTATAAATTACCTGAGTTGGTTGCTATGGGTTAGGGCATATTAGAAGCACATGTTTAGCCTAGCCCCGTTCAGTGCGATATTTTGGATCAAGCAAATGGTTAAAATTAAGCATGTACCTTTGTACTCTCCTATATTTGGGCAGTCTTCTGAACTGAGAAATATTAATTTAATGCATTATCTGGAGAGACACAAACATTTCTTCCTGGGCTTTGTGCAGGCTTTGAAATCAGACAAAATAATTTACACTTATGAAACACAACAAACTGGAGTGTTCTATTAAAAGAAAACTAGACCAAAAAAATACCCTCAAGGCCTCCACGTATCCACACGTTGAAAGGCAGATTTAAATGTTTTCTGCCAACACATTTCAAATCTTAATGGAAATACTTTGAGCTAATACACAAAGCTTTATCAAACTAAATTCATTTTTCATAGAGCAAAGAAGAATCATTGAAGACATTATTCAGGTTTACAAAATATTTAATAGGGTGGAGAATGTGGAACCTGATAAGAAAGGTTAAACTGAAGGACATTTTAACATGGATTGGCTTTAGGTTGGTTGTGGAACACAAATAGGCTAATGAGCCTATTAAATATAGGCTCTCTCTTTGCCACACCTATCTGATCAGCACTAAAAATGTTTGCGTTTGGCTACCAACTCTCTGCAAGACTTTTAAAAGTAATAGTCATTCTAAACATACCATTCAAAATGCTAAACATCCAAGTTTTCTCAATCCAAACACCCAAGGTTAGTGTGTCAGCCAAAATCATTAATCTGCTTAGGAAAACTGCTCTGTTTATCTATTTACTCTATTTATCTATTTACTCTATTTAGGTATCTGCTCTAATATACCATCCTGGGCACCTGCAGGCAGTAGCTATCCCAGAGAAGCATCTGCCCAGCTCCATTGAAGTGTCTCTCATGTGCTTCTCCACACTCGGATATCTGCGAAAACCACCTACTTATCTATGCGGGCTAAATGACAGCAATCCAGGCAGGCTGGATAAGGAGATTGTGGATGAGGAGATGAGAGGAAAATATGGACCTCAAGTATGCATCCTAGTGATGCACTAGCATGGCAAGGCAAGGAGTGCTCCAGAAACATGCTGTCCTCCACATGCTCCTGTCCCCTTTGCTCCTGGACAGTGCTTACAGGGCAGGTTCATCTCCATCTGTCCTGAGAAGTCTTGTCATGTGGCTCAGGTCATGCATCCTTTGGGAGGACACGATACCCAGACATCAAACAGAAGAGAGAGCTCAAGTCTAAAGAAAACAGGCACTACAAAGTTATTTTCACCCAATCTCTTTCCAAGCGCTGCTCAGATTGAGTGTATTTTTTAGGTCAACATGAGACCCACATCATAACCAGCAAAATGCTGCSAAAGCTTAAGATTTTTGTCAAGTTGCCGTCATATTACCTCTCCCCCAAACACACAAGTGTGATACGATGGGAAGCTCTGGCCAGCTTTAACGCTCGGCATTGCACTCGCTCCCAGGCCTATTTTGCACAGAAGACTGTTTTTCCTTAGTGATGAGCTCAAACCATCTGCCATGAATTACTTTTTCATTGGGAATAAATACTGACTTAAACAAGATTAAACACAAATGTTCTTTAGTGGTGTCTAAAATAATACAAATGTTTTTTAGAAGAGCAATAAACGCACTTCACAATGCAAATAATTACACCCTGCAGCCTTTATCTACAGATAAGCGGCCGGATTCTTGACTCAGCTACATCACTGTAAATCCAGAGTAACAACCCTGAGTTTCTCAATTTCTCCCTCCACTGATTCTGGAGATGAAGAACTGTTATTGTGCTCTGGATTTGTCCTGGTCTGAATGGTGAGGGTTTTGTAGACATGGGGCACACACAGATGAAAGTCTCCACTTCAGCAACAGAGTGACCACAGTCTTTGTCCTCATTGCCCCAAAATATCTCCTCAGTTCAGAGTAATGAATTCAGAGTCTGGCTGCATTTTCTTTGTGTGTCTGATACGACTTCAAAAACTGATTCTTAGTTATCCCCATARGAAAACTCTACTAAGGTCAATGGCAAAGAAAAGGAAGGGAAAAAAAATAAGAGAACTCCACAGAAACTCAGGACAGGACGGCGTAAGGCAATATATGCATGAAAAGCTGCAAATCAGTGATCAGAATCTCCAGGATTAAAAAGAACCAACTCAGTTGATCTTCCTCTAGGATGAGAAGGATTTGCTCATGTTMCAAATCCTCTCTGAAAAGCTAAATTATGCTCAAGTACCATTTTCTTATGGGATTCTGCAAGATGAGTTGGTTAGGCCGAAATGAAGCTGGAAAGGTGAATATGCCCAAGTAGGACAACTTGAAAAGACAGCTTGCTACTTAAAAATAACAACACAATTGTACTTGGCTGTTAAAAGGGTCTCCAGAATTTACATGAGCACAGAGCTTAGGCACACAGGGAATCGCAGTTTTGACTATTCTCCTCCCGTTTAAGGCTCAAGGTTGTGTTTTGAGCGCGGGGCTCTTACCGGGACTTGTGAGGGCTCCCAGAGCACCGGTCGTTGTGGAGAGAGGATTTGCATTGGTGGTAGTAGCTGAGGTTTGGGCGGCGGCTGCTGCGGCTGCTAAAGTTGCCAAATTCTGTAATTGTAAAGCGTTCATGCCTGTGTGGAGAAGAAATAGGGTTAATTAAGAGATGCTGTTCTGTTTCAAACGCAAACTATTTTCAATGGACACAGAGCTCTGAAGGTACCTTGCCAAGAGATTCAGTTCTTCTTTTCACTCTCAAAACTTCTATAATCTGGGCACCACCTTTTACAGCCCCCAGGTAGCATCTTTCACCTTGGAAGTGAGAGGCTGTGGTTAAAGCACTGGCCTCCAGCTCAGGAAAATTAAATTTGGTTTGTGCCTCTTCTATAAAGGAACTGTAGAATTAAAAGTCATTTAAACTCTGTGTGAAGCACAGGCACAATACTATTTCCTGACACAACAGGGAGTGCAAAGAAGATAACTAACATTTAAAACACATTCAAGATAGGGCCATATAATTTGGATGACTATTAATTGTTTCTCGTGTCTCCTCTGCACGTCTCTGCTAATATGACACTGTACAGTAGCCAATAGTTGCAATGACTTCTCTTTTGATAGTTCATTTCTAAAAACACATATGATCTGAGCACCAAATTAATATCCGACTGATCACTCAGCAGCTCTCATTGTACTGGGAGCTTCTAGCCTTGAAGTAGTGAATTGTACTTGTTCATTGAAAAGATTTCAAGGTGAACCAGACATAGGGTTTGAAAACTCTTGTGAAGTTCCTCATCATCACTCATGTCAAGAAACTTTCTCTGAAATTTGTTATTTTTTATTGCTATTTGTTAATGTTGTTGCTTCCAAAACTTACTTTCAGATTCATTATTTTTTCTTCTGACACACTAGTTTGCCTAACAAGAGACAGTACTTCTTGAAAGCTTTGTTTCTCAAACCAGTGGAACTTAATAACAACTTAAAGAAAATGAAAAAAGCGGATAAATACAATGCTGTTAAGTACAGCATGAAATGAAGGAGAGGTATTTTCTAGGAACTGAGAACTCCAAAAACAAAGATGATTCAGTGAGGATGTTTTTGCAAGTGTCACTTTGTATTTTTTTTTTTATATACTCAGCCAAATGAATCACTTTCTGACAAAACATGGAAGCTGGAGCATATATATATATATTTTAAATTAAGAATCTCCTCTTACTTTGAGGTAAAACCCGGAAAATAAACAAAGCACAATTTTAGGGATGGAGAAGACTGAACTGGGGTCCTGTTCTTTGCAAACAAAAGCAGAGAGCTGTCCTCAAAAGGACCCATAGGACCCACCTTCACGCTGGTTTGATATTTGGTCCTCAGGAAACCCTCTTTTACCTTCCTGCTCCATAAGAAGTATAAGTAATTCAGCAGGCACTGCTGGTCCTTACTGAGGCTACATTTTGTGCTGTTCTGCAATGCCATCAGTGGAGGATTTGCTCAAACACTGAGCTTGTTTGTCACCACAGCTCCGTGGTTTCTGTCAGCCAATGGCCAGGCATGGATCAGAGGGACCAGTGGTGATCAGTCCACACTTCTCCTGAGGTTTTCACACCTGACTTTTTAAACAGCCCACACTGAGGAAGCTTAAAGAATAGTGAGTAAAAACATACAGAACGGTACTGGAAAATAGCTTCATTCCCATGCTTCAGGAAACACGTGGACCTCTCTCCACAACTCAGTGAATATTTTTTGACACAATTCACTACTGCTTTCTCCATTGCATTTTATCTGGCCACCTATGCAAAGCTGCTGCTGCGCCTGTGTGRATGCAAAACAAAACCCAGCATTGCTTCAAACCGCTGTGTTTTCCTAGCAGGACATCTCTCGTGGAAGCAGAAGACGTTTCCATCAACTTGAAGGAAAGTTGTGAAGCCAAAAGACTATCAMCAAACACAAGTTCTGCACTTGTGCAGAACTCCTCACCCCACCCCACCCCATCCTCTCCCCACCTGGCATGCTTTACTGCAGGCATGACTAAAAGACAACGGCCACCAACCAGCTATGCAGATGTTGTTGGTGTCATCTATGGAACCCTCACAAAAAAGAGCTCTTTCCAGTAGTCATATGGAGGAGAAGTACCCTGAGAAGCCTCTTGGACCCGGGCACCATARAACTGAGATTTATCACTTGATCAGCCTCCTAAAGACTGCCTGCTGAAACATGTCACAGCTCCGTCCTGTCATCACGGTTTCACTTTCCCCAGACGTTTTATCATCTCYGCTCTCTCTTTTTTGGCTTTTCCCAACAAGTTGTCAAACACATCAAAAATCCCACTTGCCAGGAAAAACGCGGAGGAGGGAAACCAAATGCTCTCAAGCCCCAGACCCAGAACGTACTTTGCTTCCCAATGTGCAACCGAGGTTTCCACTGAATTTCAGCCAAGGTGCACGTCTGTGGGACTAATCTGCTCTCTCATTCTCTCCTCTTTCACACACTGCCTTCACACATTTCACATCCTACAGCTTTTTTCTTTTTTTTTTCTTTCAAAACAGTCCCAAATCCCGGAACAGAACTGGACCGAAATGAGGAGATCGTTTTTATTTGAAAGTGCTGCTCACTCAGCAAATGCACCTCTCTGAAGAAATGCAAATTGCTTAACACTGAAGAACAGCCTCACAGGCAGAGCTGCACATGAAAAATGAAAATCCCCCTGTAGGGAAAAAAACTTCTGGGTAAGAAATAACTCTTGATCTTCATGATGGAGACGATGTTGGGAATTAAAGTGAAATGATTAAAAAAAATGGAATCACAATACAGTTTGATTCCATTTTTAATAACATGTATTTACCAATGTGCTATCAGCTTGGCAAACAGTCAAGATTGCAAGGAAATTCAACTTTCATTTTGTTATTTGGTAGATTAAAAAAACAATTAAATTATGTACAAAACAGATGCACAGTATGCCTTGCTTGAAACTTAAGATTTWWWAAAAAAAATTATTTATAAGGATAGGGGCATGAAAATTTAATTTAATGTTCACCTTAGGTAATTTTGTGTCTTATTGTTCACAGCAATTACCATAAATCTACATATCAATAAGCAAGAACAGATGTCAGTTGTTACAAGTGCTTGCCAATCAGGCCTGTTAAAAAGTGACAGATGGATGGTTATAGAACATTCTCATAAGGCCTATTAGCACATTCGCAGGAAATTTTTGTAGTGCTGCACAGTCACAGATGAAGTGCTGTGAAAACACGGGCAAATCTGAGAGCACAAGATTTCCATTTTACAACTTCTTGGGCTGCCTCCGAAGCAAACTTTGGTTCAATAAAATMATTTGCTATCTTTTTGTCCCCACTGCCTTTCTCCTGTGATAACTGTAAATTTGGAATTACTGGGTATTTGTGCAGAAGGCAGTACAATCGTGAGAGGTTCCTAAATGGTTTTTAGCCTTCATCCAATTTTGGGCTTTCAAAACCATAATAAAATCGTATTTAGGAAATAGTTGAGAGTTCAGTGTGCACACTGAATAAATTCCTAATAAAGCAAGGCAATAATGATGTTTTAGTTGCTCTATATGTATCCAGAACTTCATGATCACTGGTGATGAGCAGAGCCAAACGCTGCATGGATCACAAGCGCTTTCCAACAACTTGACCTCTATAGTTGTTCATCTTTTCTTCAGAAATGCTATCCCTTCTAACTATGAGGATTTATCCTTATGAATTAAACCCTGACTGCAGCCTAAAAATTGTGGCTTAAGGTAAAACTTTTAAACGGTAACCATTTATTAAAACTGGTAATGGACATTTAGGAGGCTTATGTTAAAATAAAGTGGGTAAAGTCTTCATGGATGGTGTTTGCAAGAATGTGATGTTACTGCCAGCAAAATCCTACGTACTACAATGGACAGGAGACCTGAGCACTACCACCATCAAACCACACGTCCTCTGCACCCATCTTTAGAAAAGCTGGTTATTTGAACTTTTCAAGTATCCTGACCACTTAGTGTCTGATTTAGTAGAGCCATTAAAACAACTTTTAACTGTAAGTCTTCATTTGATTCTGGCCTGTTGATCATACTATTTAAAAGTACACGCTTAAATCCAACTGCAAATTGTAACTACTGGTTGACCTGCACTGGGGTTCGCCACATTTTCGAGTTATACATGTTCTTAACACTTTCCTAACAAAAAATATGCTTTTCTCTCAATTTAAATTTTCCCAGTTCTGGCATGAGATTCATCTGATCTTACTTTATCCAGATAAAAGTTACTCGCCTTTGCCCTTGGCATAGTGAAAGGAGAGAGAGTGGGTGATTCATCCAATCCTAAAACAGGCAGATTAAGCCCAGCCCTTGCTAAGATGAAATCACTCCTTCTTCATTGATGTTACAGAGAGTCTGGGTGCCTAATTTCCAAATGGCAAAGTTCAACAAGATGAATTCCACCCAGAGCTGGGCCAAAGGGGTAAAATGTCTCTCCTGCTCCTTTTGCTCCTYGTGGAAAGCCCAGACAGCACTACAGAGCTCGTGTCCAGCTCCATCTTGTGCACCTCCACCATCARATTAAGCATGTCCCACCTCACCAACTTTCCTCTCCAGGTGCCTCTCCTGCTTCTGGYAGTAGAACTGAGAACGGGCTCAGTTCTTTCAAACTTTGCCTCTCCAAACACCAATTGCAGCCCCTTGATTTATTATCTAAAAAGCATACTAATTGTATGGGTTAAATTAAGTAGGACTTTCTATGGAATTAGTGTTACAAAAGCTCAACGCATTCCGTCCCTGAGGTCAACGCTTTCAAAATTGGTAGTTATCTTTAAGAAACAGCCATCTCCCTTGAGCTAGAAACAGCTTCTCGGTGACCTTTACTTTTAATATGATATCCCTTAAGAGGTCATAGCAGGAGAAAACCTCTTTCAGCCCAGCTCTGTTGGAACGAAGCCACCAAAAAGTCAGAGGATGCAAAGGATCGTTGGGCCAATGCAGAAGCGCAGAGCTTTTGTGCAGATGGTCCTGGCTTCCAACTGGTCCCTCCAGATCCACCGAGCCAATCCCACAATTAGAGAGGGAAATAGTCAGAAAGCAAAACCTTGCGGAGTTTCTCWCACCCATCTGCTCCTCCAGACTCTGCAGCAGGAGGAAATCTGGCTTGGGTAGCAGAAGAGGGGTGAAACGGATTGAACRGGAGTCAGAATGGGCCAGAAGATCAACCCAACATGCAACCAACCTGCTAGGGAGCTTGGAAAAGACTGGGAAAAAAAATCAAAAACAAAAAAACAAACAGACATGCACACACTGGAAGGAGAAAAAAAAAAAAACACCTCCAGCTGTACAGGGCTTGTGGATCTTAAGTCCACAAAAAAAGCCCAAAACCTGTATACTCCTCCTGCACGACCTCAAAGAGCAAAACATACTGCTCATTCACTGACATTAACAGAGCCCTTTTGTGCCTCTTATTGGTACTGAACAGTTGAGCATGTAGCAAATGGTCACGTGTATGAGCAGGAATAAATATTTGTAAAAATATGTAAAGCTATTTAGATGAGTGAGAGAAAATCTTCATGGATAATATATTTTTGGACACTGCAGTTTTCTACAGCAACCCAAAATGATATGAAATCTCTCTGTTTATTCCTGCCTGTACAGCACTTTCTAGGTTCTTCTTAAACAGGCAGGTTGGCCTAAATTACTGCAGCTTTTAGGCTCTGACTGAGGGCCAGCCAAATTCAACAGAAACATTTGGCGACACTAATCATATCTRAACCAAGCCTTGCATGCATTTTGTATATATGTGAAGGAGGAATGTTTTTGATTCAAATGGGTGTTAGTGTTTATAATGTAGCTCGTATTGTCCTTTAAAATCAGACAAACAAATGATATAATGCAATTCAGCCATGCTCACAGTCTCCCCCAAAGACAAAGCATAGGCCAGGCTGGAGAGGCACATAGAGAAAAAAATACTTTTAAATTAGCACGAGGAGATAGCTGTGGAGGGGAAGGAAGAGGGAATATGCTCTAAATGGTTGTATGTGCTTGCATGACTTACAGAGACCAACTAGGCCGGGTTTGGCAAGGAGAGGGTTAGCTCCTGTAAACCAGCACTGCAGGATTATTACCCTAGCAAAGGCAACACTGCCAACTCCTCCAACTTTATTAGTACTCTTGACATATTGCACTGTTTTCTTCAGCTTGGCTCCTRAAATAGAATGATTTCATGGAAATCCTACTTTGCAATCAAAACAAGGAAACTGGTCAAAGGAGGACAGAACCTTAAGGTTGGAGGACCTACATGGCAAATTACTACTTTTGGCCATTCAGACTTTAAAATATCACAAATTTCAGTTTGCCTACATGGCAAACTACTATTTTTGGTCATTCAGATTTTAAAATCTCACAAATGCAGATTTCCCCCTGCATTTGGACTTTACACACAGAGCAAAAGCAATGTCAAACATCTAGTAATGGGCTCCTCCAGCAAAAGCAGCATTCCCTGCTGGAACTGATGTTCTATGGGCTCAATGTCGGTATGTTAGGGACCTCTTGAGAAAGAAATACATACAGATGTGAAGGCTCCTAATTTTGACCAAGGGGGTGACGATATTACCAACACTAGTTTAGCCAGCCATGACTTGAGGCGGGGGGGTATAAGTCCATGAAAGCTTTACAGAATTAGAGACCTGACACAGAAGACTTGAAAGATCCAAGTTTTACCCCTTGAACACACTGTACATATTTGAATAAATATGCAGAGCTACCCAATTACTCTAATTCTGCTGTCACTTGGGCTGAGGAATCCTCAGCTCTGCCGGTTAAGTTCAACACAAAAACAGCTACAAATACCTGGCTGCAGACACAATTTTTTAGCTCAAAGAAGCTGTAAGTTGCAGTGATGGAGCTTGCATAGCATCTTATTTATTTGTGTCTCATTTTATTCCTTGTCCTGAAATGTTATATTAATATGTAAGCCAACTATAATATGAAACTATATTAGAGTCATTTGTGTAAAATTAATGCATACAGCTTAAGTTAAAAAAATTAGGGCCTTTATGCTACTTTCTGGACTGTAAAGATAAAAATTCAAGGATGGCTTCAGCAGGTAATGTGAGATCTTGCTGCAGACATATGAGTATTTTCTATTCCTTTCATAAAACTTAACATATGAATTTTTATTACTGGATGCACAGCATAAGAGAGTCCTGCAGAGAGAAGACTGGGATAATTTATGATTTCTGAGGTGAGGACATGAACTCTCAGTCTTAACGAAGACATAGCACCTAGTCTTTTGCAGCTTCATGTAGAGCTGTAGCTTAGAGAGAAGCTTAATATCACTAATTTGACCTCGGACATCAAGGTCATAAGGTTACATGTTCTGGGGAAAGAAAAGAATAACTTTGAGCATCTGCCATTGAGAAAGGAGGAAACATGAACATAAGATAAAAAATGTATGTTCCAGGAAATGCACACAGCCCATTGCAGTCTATCCAATATACGACCATATTAACAGTCTAATTTTTAGTTAAAGGGGACGTCCTTTAAGTAGTAAAGGGTACGTCCAAGGTACGTCATTATGATTTCTTAAGATGATTTTCTTCTAGTCTCAAAATCGTATGATTTCTCCTCTTAGAGGAGATTTCTCGTAGGGGAGAAATCACATACTGGCTTGAGAGCCTATCCTAAAAATACTTGACAAAGATCCTTAATTTCAATGCTATTCTTCGAGACAAAGCTGAATCTCCACCAACAGTGAGAAACGGGCAACAGAAAAATTCGAAGGTGCCAGTAACGCAATGGAGATCACATTATTTTTCCTGAGTGCCTCAATTCTTTCATTTTGTAGCCCTAACCAAATATGAAAACATTAAACACAATCTTTGAGCTCAAAGCCACTGCCAGGACTGCCAAGTGTAAAATGGTTACTGAACAGCTCTGTTCTGTTTATCATATTAAGATACACTTTTTTGATGAAAAAAATGCTAGATTGCAAGTGTAACATAATAGAACCAGCAAGCGCTGCCAGCAGGTCTCGGGAAGAGAGAATAATTCAGAGATATTGTCATCTGTAGGCCAATTTATATTGTCAGACAGCAGGTTCACATTAGTCTCTGATGTCACTGCAATAATGGCATAATATAAGGATTGAGAAAAGAATACCTGTGGGGTATAGCTCTACTGCGGGGTATAGCTATACTTGTTAAAATATGGCAAGATCCATTCAAAGCAGAGCCAGAAAGAAGCAAAAGGCTAGGATTAAAAGCAGGCAGAAACGCCGTTCATAAAGACTTCTGAATATTTTAGCTCTTGTTTTGTGATGATGAAGCAAGCACAATGCTGTATTTCATTGATGCAGTGGGTTCATGATTAAAATAAACTAATGTAGCAATTTGGGGGTTTTGTGCTTCCTTTTTCTTTATTTTTCTTTTCTTCCTGTAACAAGAAAAAAGGCTTTTTAACAGTTTCTCGCGGCAGGCATAATGTGCATCTGCGCTCTGATTTACTGCACATGCTGCCTTCTCTAGCATCATGTTAAGTTAGGGTATCAGCATGGTAGGTCACACAGTGGGAGCGACCTTTTGCTAATCACTACACATCAGTTACTACTGGCACACAGCTCATTACTAAGAAACCTTCCAACTAGCTGGCTTTCAAATACGCTTACACTTTGATTTTTCCCCCCTGTTCTTTCTTTCTTTCTTGTTTGCTTGCTTTTTTTTTTTTTTTTTCCCAGACCAAAGCTTATACTTTTACATAAAACCCTCTCTTGGGTAATTTTCTTAGCTAGGGTTCTRAAGTCGAAAAGGCACCCAGTTAATTTTCTGTGATTATAAAAGGAGCCCGGAAACTCACACCAAAGGTAGACCTGTAATCTTGGGTTTCATTAAAAAAGTCAGAACATTTTAACTCACCACCTATTATTAAAATGTTTGAGGGCTGTCATTAATTTGATTTTAGTTTTTCAGGATGCAGAAATATCACTGGAAATTAGAGCGTAATCCTGCTGGTGCTTTCCCGACACTTTTCAGAGGCCAGGATACAGCTGTGGGGACYAAGAGCTCCCCTGCCATTTGCAATAGGGTACTTTGGAGAAATGGCAGGTGACTRATGCAAGACAAACTGTTTGCACATCCTGGGGGCCCCCGGTTTAATTTCAGTTTCCGAAAGAGGGGAAAAGTGTTTCTATTGACGCCGAAACACGAGCGGTTCCCTGCCAATACATCTGCCATGTTTAATGCACTGCTCCTCCCGCCCCCTGACCGGGTGATTATCAGCAGCGGAGAATTCAATAGCAGAAGAATAAAAAACATAGCTGGAGCAGAATGAAATGATACTTTTAAACTTACCGGCCATTTGCTGAATGCCGCTGAAGGCACCCAAGTTACTGGAGGAAGTTGCTTGCTGCAGAAGCTGCAAATTAACAACAATAACACAGCGATTTATGTGCTGTTAAGGTAACAAATGAAGATAAAACTAAAACGAGCTTTCCTTCTACATTTGCAGCATTTATGCTTTCCTTTACATTTATATAGTCTCTTGTTTCTGGCTATTGTTGGAATGAACATCCCTAGAGTCAGTGCTGTAAATCCATATTAATGTCTAATCTCTATTAAGAAACACAGAGACACAAGGGAAACTCAATAACATTGCTGCTTTAAAACAATTAATCAATTTATTCTTTTTAACAACCAGGTGTTAAATCTATTTAAACCAACATAGCGTGACTAATTACAACCCTCTGTAGTCTAGTAGTTACCATAACTCATCTCTGTCAATCACAGTCCATTTGCTCCTACCCCGTTGAATTCCGTTTTTTCTTTCTTATCTTTGTGAATCAAGCGCACAGATTAGACTGGTACCAGTAGCTAACAATTTAGCCTACCTCAGTATTAATTAGCCTACCTCAATATCAATATATATTTTTAATTGCTAGGTAAATTAAGGTTTATCATATTAGATCACTACACTGACGCCTTGCCTGAATACAGATCATGTATTTGGGCATGCACGGTGCATTTACAGACACATGTATTTGTCTATCTCAGAGCCTTCAGGAAATCCCCAAATGATGAAAAAGCTGCTAAAAGTGACCGTGTGACTTCAGGGCCACCAAAGGCCAGGTCTTGCTCACAGAGGGGCTGCGAGGGACCCTCGGCAATGCAGGAGCTGTGATATATGTGACACACATTTAGCACTGGCAGCATCATGCCTTAGCATGAAAGCTGTACGGCACTTTAGAAAGGTGTAAACGAGCAATTCCCAAGCAAACTGTATAAAATTAGAGGATTAAATGACAGCACTGCTCCCGTCTTAGAGGCTATGCAATATACATATGTGCAGTGCTCTGCTACCCATCTGTCCTGTGCTTTTTCTTTCTTTTAAAGGAAGAACTAAAATTTTATCCCAGCTATTAAAACGGCAATGTAACATTCAAAAGGCCAATAAAATGAATGGGATCAAACTTTATATTTTCAGAGCGACAAAAATTTAAATGGGTGCCTCAGAAGGCACCAACACATCCTGAAAAGCTCATTCAATGTCAGTTCACTCCTGTTCACTTTTAGACCATGCTATGAACATATAGATCATTTTATTTAGAAGAAGACATGCTGTATCTCTTGGAAGACCTAGTGGAAGACCTAGTAGGGTGTTCACCCCAGCCTTCCCACAGTTTTTTAAAACAGAATCGTGTAGGCACCACCTTTGGAGGGCACTTACAGCTAGGTATTGTGGTGTGAGTCCTCCCAGACCTGTGAGGTTTCCCCACGTGGCAGTATTGAGCTGCTGCATCTGCTGCGCCAACTGCTGCTGCAAGCGCCGCTGCTCCTTGTCCTTTTGGGTATCAGCAAACTTCACCACGATTGGCGAAGAGCAGCCCTGCGGGGGGACAGACGGGGAAATGGAGGCGTTACACCCCACGCACTCACCTCCGGGCTCCCTGAGGGCCGCTCGCCCTCCCTCAGCACTTGCTTTTTTGGATGGAGATTTCTGCAAGGACGGAGATGTTTTCAGTTTCTTAGGGAAAAAGAGGCCGTGGAGGAATTATCGACTCGCACAAAGGGTGCTCGGATGGTTCCCCCACCTGCGCTCCGCTCCCAGGCACGCTTTGGGTGAAGCGTCCTGGAGATGTGGCCCAAGGTGCTAGCACTGGTGGTGCCCACCTATTCCTGACTGCCACCTTGGCCAGCAATTCGTCCGTGAGCCTCTCCTTATGGGATACGGGAGGGCTGCAAGACACCTTGGGAATGAGGAGACTGTAAGCCTAGTGATTGGGTCTGCAGCCTCSTCCTCAACCCTGCCTTTGGGGCCCTCGCATCAGGCCACAGACCAGGCGGCCTGTGGTGGTCGGCTGGATATTGCTCTTGGACTCCAGTCTGGGAACGAAGTCACGGGGAGAACAAGATACAAGAACGGGAAAGATATCTCTGTTGCTCCCACTCTCTTTTTTTATCTTGTTAACAAATGTGTTTATATGTTAACCTTTCAAGTACTCATTTTTCTTAAAAGAGGGAGCAAAGCAGATACCGTAATGATTCAGCCCTGCAAATTAATGCAAGCATCTCATGAGTCATAGACGTTGTCAATCTATTTTAGCATTTCAAACTGCTTTCCAACTTCATAGGATTCAGTGAATAACTTTCCTCGACCTGCTATGCTTGTTATACTAATTTCTTGTCTAACTTCAATCTCATCTCACAACAACGGCAGGAACAAAAGATGACTCACATCCAAAAAAAAAAAAAAAAACCCCACAAAGCTGAATTTTAGCCAGAAAGTGCAGTGTGGGATGGGGAGTGGGCTTATACTTAACCTAACTCTTCAGAACTGTGAGTATCTTCAGAAAAGCTCTTGTCTTCTGTCATCTACAGAGAGGAGCTGTGCACTTGTCCTCATGCCGGGACAAAAGTCGGGCATGTGCACCATCAACAAASAGAAGGATGAGGAAAATCCTCACATCAACCTCTCTTGTCCAAGGATCTCTCAGCAATCGTCTTTCTTCTGCATTCGCTTAGAAAATCATCACTTGTGATTTATTATTCCATGTCCAACTCCTTTCTTGTACTTCTCATTGTAAAAATGTTTGGGGGAGGAAATGGGGAAATATATACCACTCCAGCAATCAAATAAAGATTATGGAGTCAGCTTGCTTCACAATTGCCTATCTTCAGCGATTTTTATACGAATATTAAAAAGAAGACTTTTTAAGAAAAAAAAAAAAGAGAAAAGAGAAACCCAGGGTGGAGGGTATGAGAGAGATTTCTCTAGTTCATTTAATAAAAAAAAAAAAAAGTTTGCATTCTATTTAATGTAAGCTTTAGTAGTGCTGGGCTGAGAACAATCAGAACTTCTTGCTCATGACCTAGAGAAACACGAAAATTGAGTTGATTTCAAAAGAAATAGAAATGAATTTCAAAGGAAGAAATATTATATAGCTATTTTAGTTCTCAGTTCAGCAGCTCAGTACTCAATACTACAGCTGACATCATATTTATGAATGCTTAAATGTCAGTAAATTGTATAAAAACAATATCTCTACAATTTATGAATCTATAATTCATTTTTTTCACTGTCTGCTCTGTATTTCATCACTTCATCATTTTCAAGAGAGCAAACATTCTGAAGACTCAAATTATATCTAGCAAGTGGCTCTATATGAGAAAAGGATTGTTATTGTTGCATCAAATTTACTCCATGATAACAAATTAGTGTCTCCTACTGGTGCTGCATTTGAATGCCTTCAACAACAACAACAACAACAACAAAATCTCACAGAAATGAGCTGGAAGAGCAAAAACTTACAGCAGCAGTTACGTTTTTAAAATTAGTGCATTTAATCAGGTTGGAAAGTGAGATGCAAAGGGTAGTAAGAGAATTCATTACACTCACAGACATGTGTACACCTGAACATGAACAGCATCACTGTTCTGCATCCTTAGCCTGCTTTAAAAATGCCTCTTGGCCAATGATGTGTGACAAAAAACCCCAAAATACTGAASTTAGGAAAAAAATCAGTAACTGAGCTGAAATTTGAATGAGTAATGCATATTCTCTCCCCTTATTTTTTGAGTGCTTTAAATATGAAACCAAAGCATCCAAGGATCACTGTTTGAGGCTGACAGTCTAGCTTTAACTCTACTTAACCCAAATTAACTTTTTACTAGGAAAAAAAATGGCAACAAATATTTGCCTAAAGARTAACTTCTGTCTTAATTTCTCCAATCTTCTCTGTCAAGAAGTACCACCCAGTAAATGAATAAGGAGCAAGGGCTTGGTATCTCTATCCCATCTAGGGCCACKTTGGGGGCAGGACAAAGTGCACTGCTTCCCTCAAAGAAGGAGCTCTCACCCTAAGCTTTATTAGCGCAAAGATGTCTAATGTGCAAAAAATATTTGGAATCATCTTGTCAGTTTGGGGGTTTCCTTGCTGGTGACTTTAAAGATGTTGAGAAGTGCTTTGCTCTGAGGATGACTATGCCATAGGACTGACTTYGAGAAGGGTAGGGCATGAAATAAGAACTGCTCTCTGACGTATTCTTCCTTTAATTTTAAGATCTTCTGAGGTGGAGCTGTGTGAAATTCATTTTGCTAGGCAGAAAAAATTCATTAAAACACGTGGAAAAATATATGAGAAGCGCAGGATTACCAATAAACATTCTCCTTTTACTTGGAATCAAACCTAGGAAAAATATCTGCATTAACAGAGCACACACATTATGAGAATATTCCTTCAAAGCCTCAATGTGGCAGGTGTCTTTCTTTGTTTAAACATACACGGTCAAGGCTGCATACATTGTATACCATCAGCTTGCTAGCCAAGCTAGAACTCCATCTCACTGGAGGACTCTCATCTAACACTGTATACCCGGCCTCTAAAAATGCATTGCACTGAAAAGAAAACACAGCGATTATAAAAATAAGCTCAACCAAATGCAAACGTTGATGCTCAGAAAGACAATAGCTTTGCAATGCCAATATCGTTACTTGTTGTACACAGGAAACAGTTAGTGAYGTTTTCATGCACTTTCTCTCTCYTTTCTTCTCTTTTTTTTCCCTTTTTTTATTGTAAGAATTACTATTTTTTGTTTTTTTCTCCTCTCTCCGCCCTCCCGCCCTTTGGGTCCCCGCTCGGCTGGTGACACAAAGCAGCTCAACGACATGACGCAATAATGATTGTTTTAGTGCCCCGCATGCTTTGGGAGACTAGAGCATTGCAAAGGAGGAAGAAAAAAAAAAGAATAATATAAAAAAGAATAAAATAAAATAACTGAGGGAAAAAAAAAAAAGAAAGATCGAGAGTTCCTGGAGTAAAATAAATAAATAAATAAAATAAATAAGAGAAACAGTGCACATAACATCAATGCCACCTTGGAGAGAAATCATCACTACACGAAGATACAGTATACATAATACAGTATAACATGCACTCTCCTGCGATAAGCTAGAAGATCCAGCGTTAAGTAAAGGCTTCCTACTGGTGTAGGGTTTTTTTGTTTTTATTTTTTTGGTGGGGAGGGCGCAAAATAATTCTGAAAGACCATGACAAAAATCACAGACTAGGGGGAAAAGAATAATAAAACAACAAAAAAAGCTYGGCGGCCCTCAGGAGCCCACGGCGGCCAGGACAAGTGGGATCCAAGAGAGTGGCGTGAGGAGGTCTGAGGCTGCTGGGTAGGGGACAGAGTGTCCATGTAAAGGCCAGAGAAATTAATAGTATTAATTTAAAAAAGAGATTCCCTCTTTGGCCAAGTGCAAGTGCCGGCAGCTCAAGTGCRGCTGGGCTAAAACTCCTGGAGCTTCTTCCTCAGAGCAGTGCACCTCAGGATACTTAARAATGTCTCTAAAAAGAAAACTAAGGAGGTGCTTGGGTTTTTGGGGCGTTGGTGGTTAACATTAAAGGTAATTTTCAGGTCAGGGAAGCTCTGAGCGCATCCTCGTTTTCTGCTGAATGCCACCAAARCAGGCCAGGAAGCAGCGCTGTGGGGACAGCGCTGCCTTCTTCTGAGGAAAACCATCTTTGCCCGCAAGGGGCCAAGTGGAACGGGCCAAAAAACTACCAATACTGCAACTAAAAAAACAAATTAAAAAATGGGTTATATCTGTGATTGTCATGCGTCCGATCTGGTCGAGGAGAGCATGGCTTTACCATTCGCAATCATTTGCACAAAGAAAACAAAGAAAGGGCAAATGATACAGTACTGTACCTCCATGGTCTGAGACTGGTGCATGGCTTTGATTGCATTCTGTGCCATTGCCCTTGTAGAAAATGTGACAAACGCACAGCCTGTGGGAACAAGGGGACAGGGAGCAGGAAAGACAAAAAACAACAAGACAAAAGGGTTGGACGCTTGTTAAACCAACACAGTCTACGAGAACGGCCACAAGACGACACTGTTCTCAGTAGTACATAAAAAATAAACAACTTCTCTAGTTTATTTATCAACAGTGCTGACTTGCTAATCTGACCATAGATGGAAGGGAGAGGGAAGAAAATCAGGTGGGGATAGGTGATTTTTTTTTCCCTTTAATTTGTTCTTTTTTTTTCTTTAATTTGTTCTTTTTTCTTCCTTTTTTTTTGGTTTTTGTTCTTTAGCCACATGGTTTGCCATAAGTTCAGCTCATATGTACAGTTTGGATTGCACAGTATGAAGTTTGGATTGTACAGTTTAATCTACATGCAGGCCACACATTATTAKTTGCTTGCTAGGTCTTTTGTGTAGGCAAATTTTGGGGGAGCAAATAAATGACTGGCATCRCTGCCATGGGAATCCTTGGTTATCTTGTGTTTAAGAATGATTCATAACCTCCCTTATAAATCTCAGTGAGGGACTAAGAGTGACAACAGAGATAAGGAGAAGGAAAACTGCTGTGCACCCAGAAGCCAGGTGTGAAAATACTCGGACAAAATACACTGACATAGATGGACTCTCACCATTTAAGGAAATATTGCCTTTTTTTTTTTTTTTTCCGTTGCTTCTCTGAGTCCTGGTCACCAGGATAACTCTTTAATGTGTGAGAGCTGCCACCAACTTTAACAATTCTGCAGCTATGTGTTGAATAACTGAGAAATCACTTTTCTCCCTCTTCAGTCTTTTAAAAAAAAAAAAAAAAAAAAAAAAAAAAAAAAAGCCAGCAGGCTAATGCCTGGGCTATTTTTCTACTCTTTTACTATTGTCAGTCATACCTAGAGTGGGCATGGTGGAGGTCAGCTTTTTAGCGCGTGACTCATTGTCCTTTCGACTAATAAAAACACTGCTTTCTGAAAATTTACATTTTATTCTTCATGCACCCTTGGGCATCTTAAAGAAAAAGACTGTGAAATTAATGCAGATTTGGGCCGATTTCGTAATAATGCCATGGCACACTAAAAGCTTAGCTAAAGCAACAGACTTATTTCACTTGTGATCTCTAATGACTTTAAAAGTGCATTGATTTTCAGCTCCCTTAGCCTTGCACAGTTTGAACTTAGGTTTCAGAGGATAATTTAGTGTTCCACTCAATTTCCTCAAAACATTATTATTATTACTACTTAAAAGATTTCCAAATGAAGCAAATCTAAGCACTGAGAGGCTAAAGCATATTGTCATTCTAGAGCTAATGTATGAAAGCTACATTCTGGCATTAAAAATGCAATATTGTTGCCCCTGTGGCCAATGGACAAAATAAACCATTTTGCAATCCAACAAGCAACAGATTGTTTGGTTTATGAAAATCAATTTGAGGTATAAAGCATCTTTTTGTGTGTGTGTGTGTGTGTGTGCTTCGTGTGTACCTGGTAAGATTATCAAGTCAAGACTGTATTCACATTTTAATCAAACAACAGTAAGAGAAAGCAATGCCTGATCATTACCCAAAAGCACTACATCTAGTCATGAAAATAAAGTCAATGCATTTTTGCATCATGCGGTATTTTTGTTTTTAAGGTAAAGGCCCTTGGTACAAGGGAATCTGAGCTGGTTTATATGTCTCTGACCAATAGGTCACGTCATAAAACTGGAAGTTAGAATTTCTTAATGCAAACTTCCTGGCAATGTCGTGATACTTCATGTATTTCTTGGATAATGTTAACAACTGCTGATGTCTTACTACTGTTTAGACACACTACGTGTTGCTACTACTGTTATTCAGAGACAAATGTTTTGTCAAAGAAAACGATGTAACGAACAGCTTTCTATAAGGCATTCTAGACAAAATGTGTAGGAGAATGGTAAATAAGCCACAGTACCTCGGCTAGACTCCACATTGCTGCTGTGCACTAAAATTAGAGAGGCCCAAGTTTACCGACAGTCTCAAAGAATTCTCTCTTAAAAGACATTTCACTTATCATTATTAACAGAGGAAATAACACCGAGGGTTTTCATTTCTTGTCTTTCAACTCCAAAGGGGAATGAGCACCAATAAGCAATATGCCGGGGTGGGCACAAAGCCCCACGCAGAGCCTCAAATAACGCTGCTCGTAACGGTCAAGCAACTGCTCCGTTCGCTTCTTCTGCTCTCATTACCCAGGAGCGTGCACCGCAGTGACAACTACTGAATGAAGGTTAAGCATGCATAAGAAGCATGTAAAATGTCAACAAAAATCAATAAGACACAGTTTATGCATTTATCACAATTTCTACCCAGCACTACTGCTGTAAATAACTTACAGAGAGATGGTGCAATTAGCAGGTCTCAAAAGGAATGCGAATCTGCAGAGAAAGCAAGCTGCACACAAGAGGAAGCAGATTCACTCTTTCCTCCCTTGTGCTTTTTCTTTTTTTTTCTCTCTCTTTTTTTCCCCCATCATCTGACACAACACCAACTCCCCTTCCTTGTTTCTCAACACAAATTCCCTGGTTTGGATTCTCCTTTCCTTTGTCCCRAAGGGAGAATATCTTTCGCTGCAACCCTCTGCAAAGTGCCATATAGTGAGCTACTTATTTAAAGGAAATTTGCTCTCTCAGAAAGGGGAATGCCAGATGAATGACATTATGCCACTAAAATAGGAGCATTTGGAGCCTTTTGCAGGGAAGAGGGGATTGCATTTTAACTATGCTCTGCCAGTCAGGGGCTACAAGATTGGGTCTCTGTGCTGGCTCCAAGCTGCTGCCCATTTCCCACTTTTGCACGTTGGCCCTTTGCACAGCAATCACCTGGTTTGCCTAAATAATCACACTAAAAATTTAGCACTCAACTCCATTTCTATTTTTTTTTATAATCCAGGCCTTCAGTGGTTATCACTAAGAACCCCAATCACATGCCAGATAATTTAACCATCTTTCTAGACATTGTTCCAGACTGAAATGCTATATGTATTCACATGCAATGGTTATCTTTACAGTTATGACACYGGACACTCACATGCAAAATTCATATATGTAACATGTTTGCACTTATTGTTAACTATGTGTGAAACACAGATCCTTTCCCTCCATACAGGACTGTCACACTAAAGAAGACAGAAATCTATACAACAGATTCAGTCCACTTGACCACCTAACTTGCACGTATGATTTAGCTATATAGAAAAGCTTATATGCTCCATACAGTGGCAGTACCACTCATTTTCTATATGGGGAACATGTGCATTTTATCAATTTCTTGGGCACCCTGAATTTAACTGGAAAACGATGTCCATGCACCCAGGACTTCTTTCCCTGTTTACATCAGATTAGCTCTGCTGGGACCAAAACCTCCAACTCTTGCCATAGACATTTCTGACAGGATGGGGAATAAATTCCCTTTTTAGTGCAAACTCCCTCTCTGTATCTTCTGAATACAGGTGGTCATTTGGGAGCAGAGCCGTTAATCACAATTATAACGGGACAAGACTAATCAGATTTCGCGCCTCGCGGTGCAAGGAAACAAGAAAGATTGCCGTGGCCGCTTACCTCGTCGCAAAAAAACACTACTGCAGCTGCAGTGCCGTGGGTCACGTTCATTCAGCACAACAGCTCTAAGCAAACTATCCCTGCTCTACTGTACCAAGTCCGGATACTTCAAATACTCCTTTCTTATGGGCATCAGATATGGGGGAAAAAACTACATAAGGGGATATTTCTGTTGCTAACACCTTAAAATTACTTCTTTTTCCTGTATCACTAGCTGCCTAGCCTTGAAAAAAATATATATCTCTTTGTAAATATAGCCAATCTGCAAGTCACCTTGCAATTATTTATCACCTCGGGGTACAAATTGCCAGGGATCAACCAGAGAAACAAAAGGAGGGGTGAGAACTGCAGTTATTTCTTAAAGATTGACTTCCAACTTGCCATTTACCAAATGGATAAATGACTAACTAGGGAAGGGTTGTGCTGCATTATTTCCTCCTMTAGACTGAATCGAGGGAGCCACTGAGCACTGGGTGCAGAGATTTGGGAACACACGTGCTATACTTGTCATCTCAGCCAAAAGGAGCTYCAAACACCCAGGGTTTATCTTTCTTCCCCCAAAACCTGAAGGAGAATTTTGAAAAGGCCAACAAAATTATAAAAGTTTCCTCCTTGAACCGCAATGTCCTACTCCTAGTGCTTGCTGCTCGAGTGATTGTGCTAGTGGAAATTCTCAAAAATGCATAGCACTGCCTCATTTCAACTCCTGCTTCACTCAGTCCTTCTCAACTCGGGCTTTCAGAGACTATTTTGAAGTGTTCAGCAGGCAGTTCRTGCACTGGATAGCATAACATCAAAACTTGTGAGCTGCAAGTAAAGTAGTACATTTTTAAGCATGGAAGCGACAAGGCAAGGATTTCACATCTACGTCAAGCAAACCTAGGCCTAGAAAGAGTGGAAGCTTAAAAAACGCATCTTTAAAAATCTTGAGATGAAATAAAAGGAGTTGTAAACAATTTTAAACAGTAAATATAAATATACGGTGACTCCCCATGACAGAGAATAAAGCTCAAGATGAACTTTTCACCACCATCCAAGCAATCCTGTGCAATGGTGGTGCTATGGTTGTACCCCCAAGTCCTAGGCCACTGTAGGCAGGACTMTTCTTGGCTTTCTGGGAAGAAAGAGTAGGGAAAAGCCACCATGGCTACTGCATTTTGGGATCTTCTGAGATGGAAGTCCCTAGTTAAAGAAAATTTAGATTCTTCTCCCCCTTACTTTCTTGTTTGGACTTCAGATCCGATGGCCTGGGCACATCCAAGCAATCTTCCCTCTTAAAGCTTTACTTTGCTCTGTTTCCTATCTTATTTCGTTCCCTCCTTTCCAGCCTTTAAAAAGTTTCAGATGAGCAAAAAAAAAAAAAAACTTAAATGTGCTAAACATTTGGAAAAAAAAATCGTATTTCAGTGAGAGAAATAAAGCACTGAGAAGCTTCTATAAGGAAACTAAAAATATTGCCCTGCCACAATAGTCATTTCCCTTACTGATGCAGAAGGGAGAAGCTGGCAGCTAATCCAAGCTGTTCCCATGCTCAGCASTTCAGTCCATTGAAGGAGCAGTAAATATCCATGAGAAGAAACCAACAGGCATAMAACCTATTCACCTATCCCTCACAACAAGCAATTATGAGGCAAATATTAATTTTCTTTCATATGTTTATCAAAAAGCCTCCAAATCCCAAACGTTACAACTTTTATCAACATGCCTTATCATGGTGCGACTCTCTCTGACATTTCTAAACTGCTCTTAAGACAAATGAACAAAGTAATTCCTTGTAACTGAGGTCTGCAGAAATGTTYGTTTGTCCCACATGCTTAGAAATGCTTTGTTAAAAAGTCAAAAAAAKCGGTGTGGAGGTAGAAATATTCATTTGGAGCCTTTCTACAGCATCCATGGTAGATCCAAGTGTCTGCATGTGTAATTAGCAGTTTTTTCAGTGCATGCTGTTAATCCAGTTGGCTTCTTTCTTATATCTACTGTATAAATCTGCACTTAGCAATACAGCAGCATAATTTACTGTGTGGTGCTCCTGTGATAAGCAGCTTTTTTTTTTTAATCATCATTATGGACGATAATAATTCCTAGAGTGAAGAAATATTGATCCACTGATCTTAAAAAAAAAAAAAAAAAAAAAGTGGGGAGAAAAAAATCATTTTGCAAAGGTAGAGAATGACTGCTATCTTTATTTTAAGGAATGTTATAATCAAGATGATGAGGGACCAACTCATCTATGGTTACCCAGCACATCAGCAGCCCAGCTGCAAATCAGATGTGGGTATTTCTGGCTGTTTTTGCCCGCTCTTGCTATCGTGCTCGGGCTGTCTGTGCTTGCATCTGTGCTCCTGCAGACACTGCACAGCGCGAGGAGTCGGGAGGGCCGCAAGTTTCCTTAAGCCGCCCACAATAAGTGATTTWAAAAAAAAATCTTAATCATCTGAGGCAGTTCACTTCTGCTTTCTCATGATAATGAAGCTTAGCCCATGATATCACAATCACAAATTTTTGTAAAGCATACTTAGCTCTTACGAAAAAGTGCCGGATTAAACAACCCTGCAGGCTGAATCCTTCGCTTTGAATAATGAATTCAGTCCTGGCAGTAGCAAGCTGCTTTAGATAGGCCCATGGACCCCACTAAAGCAAAGGCTGGCCTCATGTCTGTTGACTCTTTGGCTTCTTTATCTCTACAGCCAACAGGGCATTTTTATTTTTAAATGTTTTTCATAGTGGAGAATTACTCACAGGAACTGCTGCTTCAGACGGCAGTGCCTTTTGCTTGCTGCCTATTCTTTCTATAGCTGACCAAAATACAACCAGTGACAGATATAAACAGCAATTATTTCTTAGATGCAGGGGTAAATGACAGCAGGAACAAAAATGACTTCGGGAAAAAAAAAAAAAAAAAAAAAGCTAAAATGCCTAAAACATACTGCTCCACTGCTGGCACTTTGCATCATTATTTTTAGTCTTTAGGGTCATTATTTTAGCCTGGTTGTAGAGATGGGTTTCAAACAGCTGTCAACTCCTAGCTACAAACCGGACTGGAAACACTCCGACCAGCCTCTCCGTCTCTCTTGACCTTAGCCCCTACATAGGGGCTCATCTCCAAGTGTTATGCTTCTCCTTTGCTACTGGGAGGGATGTCTTTCTTGTCATTGAAGCCATGTGCTGCATTACAGCCCTAGATGCAGCTATGGACCTGTGGTAGCCCATCACTGTGCTAGTGGCACCACTGCAGCATGGACATGGTCTAAATGTCAACAAGAAACTTTCGTTCTTCCTTAAGAAAAAAAATAGCATCTCAAAACAAAATTGCCTTCCCAAGCAGCATAAGCAGGAGCACGCAACTATCTGCTGGTGCTAAAGATTATTTCCCTGAATTCTTCTACAAAGCTCCAGAGTTGGCGTAAACATCAATGACTGAACTTCTCGAGCTCCCTTCTTGCGAGATGCCACGCAACTGGAAAGTGATGCCAAATAGGCTTGGTGGGACCATATTTCCATGGCACTGCTGGAAGTACTGAGAGTTCCCAAAGGCTCTGTGTTTTYCTCAGAAAGTGCCTATTTTTCATTCCTCCATCTGTGTCCGGGAGGGAAGCAGATCCGGAGGGGTGCTGGGAAAACACGCACTATGGTAGAGGGAAGGAACATCTCGGAAATGTGACTAAAAATGCACCAAGCACCGTCACCTAAAACACCAGCTTAACTGCATACATTCCCCTGGCCTTCACAAGACAGCTTGTGACCCTGTGCTTCTCCAGACAAGACCCTCAGCCGCAAATCTCCCTTAATGCTCTTCATTTCAGCTCAGCAATGCCAAACAACTCTCCCAGCACTTGGCCTCCTCAGGCAGTGGCTTCACAAAGCTGATAAACATCTGCCCCACGGGCACAGCCGAGCTCATTTTCAGGTGTGAACAAGTGTGTGTGGAAAGTAATTTGAGCTTAACAAGGCACGARGCATGAGGGCACCATGGAGCATCAGGTGTGACCAGGACTCAAATAAACCCAAGCAGCAGCAAGGACAYAGTTCTGCTCAGGGTACTGGAGTGGGACCTACTCGGCCCATGATCTTTGGCCTCTTGTGGGAAAGGGTGGCTTCTGCTCTGCATGGGAYGTGCATAAAGTTACTTAAAAATCTCAGCTCCTGACTATCATGAGGTTGGAATTTGCTGCAGAACAAAACTACCCTGCTCATAAATTCCTAATTAGCTTTTTTTGTGTGTGTTTGCAGATACCCTTGTCTAGGGAACTAAGCAAGTGCACAGTTTGATTTCTGTGCAGCCCCTGAAAGATCCATATCTTTGCTGGGGTATGCTGGTGCATCAGTTAATTCTTTGGAGGCTCAAAACACCTGATGCCCAAACCTTGCTATTTCAGTAGTTATTTAGCACCACTTCCACCTCTGACTTCCATCACCCCTTCTGCTCTGCCCTCCTTGCAAGTGAAATCACTAAAATTTAGAGACATTTGTTCTGCCTCAGTGCGAGGTCCAGACACATAACAACAGCCCTCAGCTGTGCCAGCAAAACACTCATTACCGAGCTGCAGAAACCAGCCTTGGACCTTCCCCCAAGCCTTCCCCAAGGCTAAAGCATTGACCCTGAGGCTCCCTTTGTCCAAAGGGACTGCTGTGTCCTGACCCTAAAACTGGCGGGATTGCAATCTTGGCATGCACAAATGCACGTGCAGAACTTTCCTGGGGCATCCTATTTCTGGTTAGCCTAACTTTTCAACAAGTGCTTAATATTCAGACGCGGTAGAGTAAATGCTTTCATCCATGAAACATATAATGATACATGCAGCTTTCCCGGCTGAAATTTCTAGGCGTTTTGCACAGGCTGGGCAACACAGAAACAAACAAAAAAAACCATTAACTTCTCAACGTCATGCATAATGTTTTGCAGATTGCAGAGCCTACAGGAAACAAGTAGATTCAGAGGTTAAATAAATATATACTATAAACATATATATATGTGTGCAATTGGGCACTGTTATCTTTTTCTATGCGTTTTGAAAATGTAATAAAATGCATAAACTGTGATTTCCATTCATTTTTATGGACAGAGGAAAAATATGCCTATCGAAACAGCAGGGACGGTATTCATAGCTCCCCACTCGAATCTCCTTTTGCTGTTCAGTGATGGTGGCCAGTATCATGGCATCTTTCCCTGCTGACAGAGCAGGCTATCCATTGAGATTCACTTTCCCCACAGCACCATGTGGCACTGATCTCGTGAAAAGCTTTGTGCTCTTGAGAGTAATTTTGGGTCTGTATACCATGAAGGTAATATGCAGCCTGGGTCATCAATATACATTTAGATCTTTCTTTTCAGGATTTTTTTTTCCCGAGGGCCTTTCCCTCAAAAAAGGCACTTTTGTACTCAAAATGGACTGTCAGCTATTGAAGCAGTTGGCTGTCCAAGGCCATGGCAGCCATGTGATGGTTCTCTGCGGTGCTGTTCAATGCCTTGGCCCCGGGTTTTGGCTTGACACATGGCCATGAGCTCTAAAAGCTCTTTGGAAAGAAGGTGAGTCTGGGTGAAGTTCTTGGTTTGGGCTAACTTCTTGGTTCCCAAGCTAGTGCAGCCCCATGTTTTCCATATGGTCATAGAAAGAGCAGGATTCSAGGAGGCTGTGCTATGCGGAGGGTCAGGTCCCATGTCTGGCCTGCCTCCAACCAGATGTCTACAGCCCTTTCTCTATTGGCCTCACATTTCCAAGCAAGAGATGGGGTCAGGGAGGGCTCTTTGACTTGGCAAGAGCAGGAAAGGTGCAAGGGGACATTCCCAGCTGACAACCAGTGTGAGGACACATGTGGAGATATTGGCCCCGAGACCCTTGCGGGAAGTTCAAGGGCRATGAGCCCAACTCCTGCACATCGACTGCGACATGGAGCTCCCGTCAGCACGCAGGGAAGGAGCGGGACGGGCCGCACGCTCACCTCTGCTCAGCCCGTCGGGTCCCCGCAGGATCCGGCATTCCTCTATCTGGCCGAACGGAGAAAACATCACCCTGATATCGTTCTCATTACACTTCTTCGAAACCATTCCTATGAACAATTTTCTGTCTTCCACGGCTAGAAGATAAAAATAATGAATGAGCAAAGGCCATTTCATCTTTTTTTTTTTTTTTTCCCTGTGATCAATGCTTCATTACCACATCAAACCAGTCTCCAGTCATGTGAGGCTGGCTCTGTAACTGCAGACAAGTCCTAAGGCAAACACTTTATACTTACAACCACCCTTCCTCCCACCCCAAATTTCCAGTTTTTCTTTATCTCACTCCTTTTAAAAAAAAAATCTTTTTTTTTTTTTTTTTTGTGTGGTGGTTGCTGTTTGTATAATGTATTAATTGGCTGCCTTAGTCATGCTGCCTCCACCTCCCCATGGCAGCGTCGAAGTGAAAACCAGCCTCTGTCAGCAAGCAGTGACACCCTTTTATGGGTTTTCACTCGGATAAATTCCTTCAGGGACCAAGGAATTCATKATGGGGTGAGGGTGAAGAGGGGATCATGCACGGAAAGCTAGGAGCTAACGAGAAATATTCCTGGGAAGTCTTTGGAGAGAGACAGAAGCTCCTGTCCTTGCTGGCAATTTCCACCAGCTCAATGCACAAAAAGGCAGCGACCACTCTGGAAAAACAAGAAGACACATGGTGCACGGTTGGGCAGCGCTGCGCTGAGTTTGCAAGAGGAAAAGCAGCTCTACCTAAATTATTGGTGGAATATTTCCTGCTGCTATGGTTGCCAAAGCTGGGCTGCTGTGATAGCAAGCACACGGCACTGCTCTTAATCATGCTGAGATTTCCCAGTCCAAAGCTGTGKCCTCTTCTCAAGAATGAAATAACTCCTCAAAACTTAAGTCTTAACACCATCCCACCCCCGCCGTTAACTCGTCATTCCATCTATATTGAAGCGAAAACCTAAGAGCTTATTATACAGTATATACACTAGTGCTTTCTTTTTCTCTTGAAATGGCATGTAAATCCAATTCACTGCTAATGAGCAGACTGTCAGAGCTGGTGGGGAAGCAAAGGCAGAAGGAAAGCTTTACTCCTGAGAGTCTGCACTGCACTTATTTATTTCTATTATTGTGCAAATTATTTTTGTAATGAAGTATTTTCATTTCAGGGCTAACAAAAAATAATAATGACTCTTCCCTTGCTCCCCAGCCCACTCTCCTTGTATTAGTATGAGTCTGTCAAACGGAATAAATTGCAGCTGAAAAGGAAGAAACTACATCTATTTTCATAGGATTTTATTTGTGTTATACTTCAACACTTTAACGACATTTAATAATTCCAACAATAAAGAAGAAGAGGTTCATGTTTATTGATCACAAGAGAGGTGCTGGAAGTAATTTTTTCTCTGAATTGCTGAGTTTAAAAAATATTTGTAGSTTTTACACAGGACTTTTACACCAAGACTACCAATTTTTGTCAGACTGCAAAATGCAGACCAGCCCCTGGAATCTCAGCAAGAAAAAGCTTTACTTAGGAGACATTCCTCAAGTCTCTAGATTTTCATTCCCACTTTATATGGAGGTTCCATGTGCAGGTTAATCCTTCAGAAAGGGTTAACCGAAGATGAATACATGGGATGAGTCTGTTCTACACAGGTCAATGGGTAAGACCTGATGGTTGGGCTTGATATATTTATATATCATATATATCATATATATCATATATATCATATATATCATATATATCATATATATCATATTTATATATCATATATATCACATATATGAGATATATTTATATATATATTAATATGTCTATTATATACACACACACACACTTATATACACATAAAACAACTCTTTATGCCTATATGGCCTTGAGTAACCTCTTTGAGGAAGGTCTCTGGCCAGCCTGTCTGGTTGACACCAGCCATGGGATGTAGCCCTGCAGAAAGACTCCAGGCAAAGAAATTCAGATGGATATGGAAAGGAATGAGTAGCTTTGCACTGATACAGGGGTCTCATCTGGCAAGTGAAGACGCCAAGTGCTGATGGCCCCCAGCACCCTCTACCCTCCCTCAATGCCCAATGTGAAGCTTTTGTTTGAATTTCCCCAAAAGGAGCTGACAACAAAATTCCCCACCGGCCTCCTTCAGTTTTGCTAGTAAACCTATAAACATGCCATTTAACTAACATGATTTGCAGGTTTGCAGCTTCAGGGTGATTTTATAGTAAATTAAACATCCAGCTCCCGTGTACTGTACGTCTCAGAAATGCAGATTTCACAAAGGATGCTCAGAGTACGGAAAACATATTGATATGGTGACGTGCTCGGCATTCAGCACCATTTGTCAGTGCTGATCACTGCTGAAGCTTAAGAAAATTGCTATTCTATTTTGGCTAGAGGCCCAGCATAAAAAAATATTTAAAAGGACAATAGTTAGGATCAAAATGACGTATTTTCACCCTGTCTGATATAACATCCGATATTATTAGGCCAAAGTAATTTTCAATTCTGTATTTTTGCACAAAGGAATGCATTTTTACCCATCTAAGACTGGCTATCTGAATTTGCTTCTGCATGTTACTCATTTCTGCCTTTTCTTTCCAAASAGGAGCCTTACCTGCCTTGCAGAAAAGGCCTGAAAATTACATAGATAATAGATTGCAAGAAGTATGAAGAATTATTTATTTAGATGTTAGCATACYCCGCCACTGCATATTAGAAATGCAGGTCCGTGCCCAGGCACAGTTTGATGTGACATGGCCAGGGTTGAACCTGCTGGATTTGGGGTGAAAATGTTTTGCCTGACCGCAGGTATGCACAGTGCGGGAACTCTGTATAAATAATTGCCGATATCTATTTTACAAGGAGATAAATTGCTCCTGCAACCCCMGGAGCTCCTCCCTTCCTAGCAAAGGTGCCCAAGTGTCTCGCTTGAAGGGACATAACTACACCTTAGTCCTCGAAAGGTAGGTGAGACGAACTCAACCTCTGCCTTGGGTCTGCTTTCACCCTAGGTTCTCCCACCTTCTGACAGTGCTATACCCAGCCTGCAAAATGCAGTCTTAACAGCCTGAATAAGGGCCTGAAGGGCTATCCACCAGTAATGAGCATTTCTCACGAGGAAAACCCCCCTTCCTCAGTTAACTAGGTCAGCTGTGCTAATCCATGAGAATGAAGGGTAGTGATTATTATCAGTATGCTACACAGGAGCTGAACCCTACAATAATCAAGGGAAACCGCCTTAAGATTCGAGCAATTTTGCTTTTCGCTCATTCTAAACCCCCAAAACCCCATCCTGAAAAAATCACAGGAATACTCCCTTATTACACGTTTTGACAGCTTTAGTCAGTTAAAGAGCAAATTTCCCCTCCAGAAGCTGCCTTCTCTTTTGAGCCAATCAGGAAATGGTTAATTATGTATAAATGGTTATTTATTTTTTTTTTATCATGCAGGAGGGAAGAGGGGAAAACAGACTTTTTATCCTTATCTGTGAGCCTGTGAAAAACCCTTGCGTACAATCTGTCAAAGTCACACCTGGATCCAGAGCTGCCTGCATTAATTATCAACTTTTCTATGTGTTAGTGCTAACATATGGCATTTAATTACTCCCTCCAAATCGGCAAAGTTGTGCCACTTAGAATTTCAAAATTATTTCTTCAAGTTTTCACTGATAAAATAAGTAAAAATAAATGATAAGATCACACAACTCTCCCCCATCCCACCCTCCCCACCCCACTTTTATTTAATGGAGTACTCAATAATTTTCCCTGAAGCATTTCTGCTTTGATCCATTTATGAGTATACTGTCCTGGGGATATATGCCTGAAAGTATTGACAAAATTCAAATCTTGATGCAGAAAAAAAGTTAAGTATTTACTAAATTGTCGCATGTGGCCACTGACTACATAAAGTCATGCATTTACATGCTTTTCTGTATCGAAGTGCAGGAACATACATTAAGAAAAAAAAAAAAAGAAGAATAAATATCCTTAAGCAGCCAAATGATGTGAGTGATTAACATTTGAGAGCAAACGGTGGAGTCTTTGAAGCCTTCAAGCCATGCTTTTCTGGCAAGCACTCCCTACACAAAACTTTGTCAATAGGTTAAAATAACTGAGAGCAATATAAAGGTGGTGGGTCTTACATTTAAAGGGTGATCAGAACAGGACATACTAAAAACTATATCAGCTGAGACTCTTTCAGGGATGCTATGCTTGTCAACAATAAAAGCCTTTTAAGAATACCCCAGAGGAGACAAATAGACAAAATTAGACCTAAAGGCAAATCTTTCTCCATCAACTCTAGCTGCTAAAAGCTCAGTGGAAGAGATTAAGCKTTGGTTCATCTGTGCAAGAGGAGAGATGAGTCAGAGACATGAGCTACCTCTCCATCTCTACTCCCATAGAGAGGGAAGGGATTGAGATGATTGCCTAGGCCTATCAGTCACCTGGCTCCTATCCCGAAGAAAACAGATTTTGAGGTTGCTAATAAAGTCTGAATATCGCAGAAATGCCAAGGCATTTTGTCAAGCATGTGCAGGAGGTCTCTTTTCTACATCCTTCTGCAAGTTTCTAAGAGGCAAGCTTAGTTTTCTGTGCTAAGGGACAGGCTTATGAAGGGGCATATAAATCTAAATACAGGAACAGCAATGAAGAAGCAAGAGAACTTCACATTTTTGACTGAATTTCTTTACCCTCTTGGAAACTTCAGAAACACTACTTCACCTAGAGAATGTAAGAGGATCCTCCCACTAGTCACCAATCAAAGGACTTCAAGTAKTTCTCAAAACCTCAATTGCCATGGATCATGAAAACCAAGACCCTTTGGCATGCCTGTTTTCTCCTCCCCTTTGAACCTACCAATCTCGCTCAAGAGGCATGCTTCCTTCCTGCCATTTGCTCTTGGCACAGATAACAAGCCTCTTTGGATGGAGTGCCTGCAGCATAGGGAAACACATGCCAAGGCCTTGCGCAGGCCGTTGCGGCCTCCCTCCCATCACAGAATCACAGAAGGGTTGAGGTTGGAAGGGACCTCTAGAGATCATCTTGTCCAACCCCCCTGCTCCAGCAGGGACACCCAGAGCACAGGGCGGCATCCAGGTGGGTTTGGAAGATCCCCAGAGAAGGAGACTCCACAACCTCTCTGGRCAGCCTGGTCCAGGCCTCTGGCACCCTCACAGGAAAAAAGTTCTTCCTCATATGGAGATGGTACAAATGGTACTGGTGTTTCAACTTACACCCGTTGCTCCTTGTCCCATCATTGGCCACCTCTGAGAAGAGTTTGAGTCCTCCTCCTCACGTTCTCCCTTCACGTATTTATACATATTGATCAGATCTCCTCTCAATCTTCTCTTCTCTAGGCTAAACAGGCCCAACTCACTTAGTCTCTCCTCATACAAGAGATACTCCAGTCCCTTAATCATCTTTGTCGCTCTCCGCTGGACCCTCTTGAGAAGCTCCACATCCCTCTTGTCCTGGGGAGCCCAGAACTGCCCCCAATACTCCAGGTGAGGCCTCCCCAGAGCTGAGCAGAGGGGCAGGATCRCCTCCCTTGACCTGCTRGCAACATCCTCCTGATGCAGCCAGGATCCCATTGGCCTCCTTGGCCACGAGGGCACTGCTGMCTCATGGTTAACTTGGTGTCAACCAGGACTCCCAGGTATCTCTCTGTGGAGTTGCCTTCCAGCAGGTTGACCCCTAATCTGTCCTGGTGCCTGGGGTTATTCCTTTCCAGGTGCAGGACCCTGCACTTGTCCTTGTATTATGGAGGTGCTTCCTACACCTCATCACTCACAACATGCCTGCAAGAAGTGCATGTGCTCGCCAGGACACTAAAGCAAGTGTCTAAATCGGACAACTTAATCTCTCATCTTTTCAAGTGTTTCCTCCAAAATACAAAGGAAGTCAACYCCCTTACGCCTGACAGCTCGAACTCTCTACCCTTTGTGTGGAGATATGCCCATGCTAAGAACAGCAAGGGTTATTTCACATGCTTTCTGAACACGCTCTCCTCACGGAGCCGGACCMAAAGTTGCACAACTCCCCATAGCGCTTTGCCAATATGTTCAATCTTCTCTAGGAAGAAAAAAACTTCAAGCAATGAACAAGTAATTCATTTGGAGTCTATTCTGCTCCACTGTCTGTTACATTTCTAATTTGCCAGGAACTTAAGGGGATTTTTTTTTCCTTGAAAGAAGGACCCATACAGGCTATAATTAGCTCCGAGAGTCCTGGCTGGTGTTCCTGTACCTAAGGGAAAACTTTGCCCATTGCAAGCACAAGAAAAACGAGGGGGTGACATTCTGACTTGAATAGCAAAACTCTCACTCACCATGGTGGAGGCTGAAAAGCCTGACATGTCCTGACCCACTGCTCATGCAGAAGCCTTGGTCTCTTTTTTTGGTGTTTATTGAAAAGCAATATATTGCTGTTAAAACGCTGTTCTTGGATAACATGAAAGAGAGGGCCCGGGTGACAGCTCAAATCTGCTGTGTTTGTGGCCAGTTTTGTTTTGRAAGCTGTTCTAATAGAAAACCTAGCACAATGCAAAGTTTTAATTTCCTCCTAAACTTTATATTCCTTGGAGAAGCCTGAAAATGGGATGCACCACAATTAGSAAAAAAAGAAGCCTTAAAAAAGCCTTGCGGAGAGATTTAGAGCCCAATCATAATTTACATTTGCAGGTATGTAGATCTCTAAGTGCACGGCTTCTGCCCTGATTACTAATTAATGAGGTGCGAAGATGCCTGTTGGAGGAACCAGCTCTGATTATGTGGGCCTTATGGGAAAAAGAAGCTCTTGCAATCTAAGAAGGGAGATGATATCTTTAACATACATTTGAGAAAATTACAGGAACAAATCAAGGGGAAAAATATACACATGTACATATTTTTAAAGAATCACACACAGCCAGGCTGCACTACCATCCGATTATCTTATTTCCTTGCATATACAAACGTGGCATGTTTAATAGATTTAGCGTGCTATCTATTTTGCATGTCATATACATCCACTTAGGCAGTAACCTAGTATTCTGAATGGATATTACTGTCATTATAGCATTCATTTCAGAATGGTTGAGAGGAATAAATATCCTGCGAGATGCAAGGTGGGTTTCCCAGTTCAGAACTAAGCATACTATTAAAGTTTGAATTTGGCTGGGATTCAGAATGGCATCATTCCATAGAAAAGGAAGTTTAGGCAAATGTTTAAAGACCCGTCAGGTGCTTACACACGCTGTTAGCATGGGAATGCTTACTTTGCTTTTTGTCTTCCACTATTAAAATTTTATCTATCCTATCCATACCAGGTGCTTCTGGATCACCTAACTGCCAGCAGAGCAAGTGGAAGACACATGTAACGAGGTAGGCCATGACATACAACAGGTCCAAGGCAACAACGCTCTTCAAAACATTTCCTTCCTTTTTTAATGCTGAAGAAAAATCGGAGTTCAGAGCAGGTCAATGTCTTTCCAGACCCGTCAGCTGTAGGGAAACCTCCTCACACGGCTTTCACCACACAGGGAGGAAAGCAAAAATTCTGGCAATGTTCTRTGTGCTTTTGCGGAAAGAAAGTCACAATTAAGTAAGAATAAGTTAAAACACGTACCATTGGACTTTTCACTATCTGCAGGTTTCATCTGAATAGGATGATGCATCTAAAAATAAAAATGAAAAAGAGTAAGGCAGGTTGGATTGTCATAAAAAGCGAGAATCACGTTTCTAATGAGAGGCTAAAAGGATACATGATCAGTATTAAACATGCTCAAATGATTTAAATTCAAAACAGCACTACATTATAGGCTTTTAAGAAAAAATAAAATGGTAAAGAAGCATTTTACAACCAGGAAGATTAAAAAAAAATAGATCATTGGGCCCACAGGACTCATATAAAATTTTAATTTGCTGTATCTAGTTTCAGAAGACCACTTAAGTTACAGCCCTCATTAGTTTACGGCATGCTTGCTTTCTGTTTTACCAACTTTTTTTTCGGAAGTTCAACCACTGCCAAAACCAAGATGGAATATTCAAGTAATTTAAGACCTAGCAAGCATTGGAAACACACTCTGAGGAGTTTAGCTTGATAAATGAACTTTGCTTGTAATTAAAAAACCATGTGCTGATTGAGTACCAGAGGGGATGAGATTCATGCTTCCCATAACTGCTTAGCACCTTGTCTTCATTTTAGAAAATCTTACACATTTGTTTGTAAGCTTCTACAACAAGACAGAACAGCTCTGCTTTCCACAAAAACTCCTAATATTTTTTCATTTTCAACCTGTTCCTCCCTTCTTCCCCCCATTACTGCTAAAAAAATCTTAGTGTCCTGTGATGTCCATCACGTAGCATCCCATCTTCATACACTTGTTACACCATGTCCTCATCTTTTGCTACCAAATATTATTTCCACACCTTTTATTAGTTACTACGCCACACAAACCTTCTGCAAAAGTGTTTTCTATTTGTTCAGGATCAGCAACATCAGAACAGGTAACAATGACCTCTCTCTGATCAGAAAGCCTGGCACTTCCACTGCACCTTCTTCCTTTGATTATAGATGGCTGTATGTCCACYGCGATAGATTCAGATGAAATTTGTTACAGCTGCTCAAAAGCCTTCAGAAGTCATGTCTATGCTTGCAAAATATGCCCTCTCCCCTATTTTCTTGAGCAGGGATCTGCAGAACTGCAGGGATTTGCCTGCACAAACCTCATTGCAGCAGTGGAGCCCCTGACTTCTCTTTCTTCCTCAATCCCTCCTCAGCTCTCATGGGTATGTAGCAAAGTATGTGTTCTTACTGCTTTTGTATTGTCTTTTGGTGCAACAAAGCTAAGCATTGCCTAAAATACTCATATATATATATATGTRTATATATATATATATAYACACACACAYMTATATRTGTRTATATATATATACATATACATGTGAATATATATATATATASACATATATACTCATATATATATTTATATATACTCATATATATATAAATATATATATATATAYWTTTTTTAATGAAGGACTATTATGCCAAACTCGGCTTTGAAAAACAAAAGCAGCTGAGCAGGTGATGACATTCACACACTGATCTCAAACACAGTTTTAGAGCCTCAAGCAATCAAATCTGTGTTTATTTTGGTGAAGTCATGTAACACTAAGGACAAATTTGCTAGATTCTGCAGAAAACACAAAATATCGGCTGCAAATCTTCTCAAAAGATTTACTTAAAATTCAGAGTGCTCCCTGGCCCTACAAATCAATGTATTCCTCGTACTGTCTGAAAACTCCCCACTGTGCCCTAAGGAAAAAGAAAAAACCACAAGGTGGACGCAGTCACCAGGATGCATAAATTTGCTTCAATTTTAACAATCCTGTTCTCTTTGAATCATTTGTTTCCCAAATGGACTTTAATAGCCCTGCACTTTCCTGCCACCACTCCTATTCCATCTAATTTGTAGCAGAAAGGGAACTTATATTGCACTCCATCTTCTTTAACCAGTGCTTAACATTTAGCTGCCATCAACAATACACTGGGCACTGCAGGAGCCTTTAAATTCATGGGAATGTGGTGCAGCYTGTCCACCGGCAAGCAAAAAAAAAAAGAAAAAAGAGGCAAAAAAGTGCAACCTGCTCCGATATGAGCACTGCAGGAACTTTTGGCTCTGCAAAGTGAAGGAAAGATGGAGCAATCCAGCAACCAAAGGACTTGTCTGGATGCCTGTACCAGGGTGCAGCTAAGAGCAGCACATAGAGAAAAGCTAAGGCAGGCATAGAGACCCTTCTCCCGATATGAGAGATCCAAAAGGATGTAGAATACTTTCCTAGGACCACTGAGAACAGCACTTCTCAATTCATGGCACATTTGGGAATACGCACCTCTAGAACAATCAAACTTAATCCAGACCCTATGAAGTCTTCTCTCTTGGCTGCCAAGCACAAACCAAGGGTGATYCCATTGCATTTAGCAGTGTTACAAAACTAACAAAAGATTCAGATGAGGCCAAGAGGGTCTAAACTGCAGCATACCCATGGCAAAAGGGATGCAATACACAAACACGGCTTTGGCAAAGAGGTGGAAAAAATATGGTACTGTCAGTTCCCTAACATGAGAGGGCTCATGTTGAAGCTTGTTTAACCCTGACCATCATCAATTGATACGTTAACAACCTTTAACACTGGATTCAATAAAACATGCCATTTATAACCCGAAATGGGTTTTACAGAGTCACTGGTTCGCATCTCATTATTAAACTCATTGCTGACCTCTAGAGACAACTGCCGTGACAATACATATTATAAGCTCTCTAGCCATAAAATATTTAAAAGTAGGTGTATAAAAGAGGAAAAAAAAAAGAAAAAAGAGTGAATCTTGAAGAAGAGCAAAGTGAATAAGAAAATTAAAGAGGCAGACACAAAGGCTAAACAGGTGCAATCTCTTCCCTCTACAATGAGCAGAAGTGAAAATAGTCTGTGCGTTTTATATCTTGCTTGTATAACTGTAGGCTATAAAATAATAAGAGAGCTGTGCTTTCCCAGGCCCTCCAAGAGATTATAGATGATACAGACCTGTTTCAAATTAGATGCCACCCACTAGAATCATGTCATCTATGGCCATGAAGGATTTCACGTCTTATCAGCAAGCTGTTATTGTGGCTATACATCACAATGCCGCACACTTAAGCATCTCAAGGTAAGCGATGGCTCGGTATGTCACGTTGTCATACAGAAAAAAAAACAGGAAATGTTTTCTTCTGCAGCTTGAAGAGAAAGTTTCACTTCTAAAAATACAGTATTTACGAGCGCATGTTTGCAATTACTAAGTAGGGAAGAGTTAGGGAAGTGACTGCAGTAATTTATATATGGAAATGCTATATTGAGAATTGACTCTATAGCGAGGCAGAGAGGGCAGCAGCAGGACCAAAGATCTGGAGTTACCATTGATTAGTTTTACATATATGTATAGTGTATGTGTGTGTGTATATATATATATATATATATAATTTTTTCTTGAACACACACAACCATATGCATACCTAACTTCATCAGAGAGAATAAAAACCAACCGAGCAACCTCAGATCCTCCCAGCACAATTSATCTTCCCCAGCCTTCAGTAAGTCWTTATTTCTGCCAGCTTTCACTTTCTGGCTGTCAAATAAGATTTCCTGACCCCATCTGGCAATGGCACCTCCTTAAGCCCTTAAGCACAAGGAGGGAATTGGGAGGACCCAGACATGGCCCAATGCTCTGAGTCCAACCCAGACCATCTTGGTATACAAAGTCCATGTTGCAAGGAAGCACAAAGCAAAGTGAAACTTTTTTTGCCCCAGGCTGGAACATTTCCTTGTGTTTAGCCTCCACTCCACGATCGCTGCTGGAAGCTCACCAAAGCCGGCTTGACCACCCAACAGGGATTTCAAACACCTCCAAAACCAGCGGAAAAAATAGAAACAGCATGTACAAGGAGTCCAACAAAGGAAAAGGAAGCAGGAGGCTCTAAGGAAGGGAGAAGGAATTGAAAATGTTCATGCAATGCTGAGATGAAGGCTAAAAGGGATATGAGAGCTTGCAACTATTTGTATTGACCCATTCTCCTGAAGAACTCGCATTATTTGGGTGACATCCAAAGYAAACAAACAGAAAGAGGATTAAAAGATGACAGCTTGCTTGTATCTTGTCATTTCTATCATTTCGGGACCTGCTTCTTGCTAGTATCGATCACTGTCAAAGCCAAAGGGGACTTCCTTTATGTTTCATGTGTCACAAAACTATAACACGGTAGGAGAGGGTGAGAGAGAATAGAAGAGATGCCAGACCTTAACGGGATCTTAATATTCCTCATGGGTGAAAGGATTATAAATCTATGGACTGTTTGGAAACAATGGGAAAACCAAAGATGAAGAAAATATTAGGGATTGGTAAGAGGACTCAGGGAAGAAACACATCTGAAGATGCATCAACATGGCTGGTGGGAAAAAGTATGTGTACTTTGTGTTTGGGGAATGAATTTCAAGTTTTCTCCAGGCTACCAATAGTACAAAGAAAACAGGAAACAAAATGTCTCCCTCACAAATTCCTGTACATCCATCCCTTCACAACATCTGGAAGTTGGGATGCAGAGCACTGGCCCAGTAAAAAACTGAGGGATGACAGGAGAATGATCCACCAACCTCAGTGAATTAAACAATTCCCCATGTCTTCAGAGAACRTTGTTTTTCTGGATTATTATTTGCAGATGTTCGCATTCAGCTCCTGGCTCCCAATGCTTTCCAGAGTGTCCTGTTGGAGGAGCTCTTGAACATATTTCTCACATCACTTCAACAGCAACTTSTTTTGCTTTTGGAAACCCATGTGACCCACAAGTAATAGGAGTTTCCCAGAAGCAAAGGAGTTGTATTTTCCTATCAAAGGGAACTGTTTAAAACTACTACTCCAGGGTCAAACTAACYTGAAATACACAGTCAATATCTGGCTATAGCTTCAGGGAACTTGTCTGGAAGCTGGGTACAGTCTCCTAGGCTAAATAAATACTAGTGGAATAAAAGAGGCAAGGGACCACTCACCGGCTCTTAAGACAAGTGGCATGGCACAGCTTGCATTTATACATCTATACTTCTCTTTTCTATCAAAACAGGACATCCTTGTCCACCCTGCCTA